TATTTTCTAACATAATATAGTTTTCTTATGAAACAATGCATCCCTTTTATTTGAAATTTTTTTATAACTCTTTGATTAAATAGAAATTACCGAGTATTGCCTGTTAAACGTATAGCTATCTTCACATATAATAATACCTTATACGACAAAAATATATTTATATATAAATTGATACAATTAATTTATATCTTATAATACTGTGTCGTGCGCACAACTATTTCAGAAAATTATTTCATTGCTTCTGCGAATAGTTTCCGAATAAGAGATCAAATAGCTTTAACCAATAATTTAAATTACTAAATCACTATATACCACTGAGCACTATATTAAATATAATATTAAAAAATGATCAGAAGCTCGAAAACAGATTAATTATTGTTAATATCAAAGAATATATAGTTATAAAAAATATATATATTATAAAATCTGATAACAGATAATTTTCGCTTAAGTAACTATTCTAAACAAATGCGCGAATAAAAAGATGTATAATTAAATTAACGTGTAAATAGTTTTCTCTGTACATGTAATGGTATATCTTATTTTGATATATAGCTCATCTGTTTATATATAAATTCGAATGATATTGTATCAACACGATTTGTAAAAACAAAAACTATTTAATGGGAAAAACTTGGTACCATGTCAAATTGAGTCACAGGTTCACTAAGGTAGGCACACCATGTAAATCCTGGTGGATACCCTAGAAAAATCATGTCGATAGATTAATATATGTTAATAATAACAAGGATGCAAATATAGTGATATACCCTGACATACCCTGGTATATGGCTCATATAACACCTCCTTTACATCTTAAAAAAAATGTATCACCACATACAAATTCATATGTGTCATAAATAATGTATTAGTGAAACAGCAAAAACATCAATTTATGTATAAATATATAACATATTTAGATACATATAACATATTTACTTTCTTGACATCAAAATACACAAGTTTAAATTAAATACAATCGTAGTATAACGTTCAATAAGAAGAAGATACATGTTATTTATTTCAAATAAAATCTATTATTTTATATGATGTTAATAGAATTTTTTATCTATGCTTAAAACTTGAAAGGAAAAGAAAATAGAGAGATATATGTGAGGAAGAATTCCGAAAATATTAGAATAATGCAATATAAAAAGTAGGATTGTAATTTAAAAAATTTTTTTCTCCTTTTTATTACTTTAAAGTGTTATTAGATGCATAAATCCCAAATAACCATGCATGCAAAGCAGAAAGTAATTGACCATAAAATTAATGTAGTAATAATAGCGATAGAGTTTCTTGTTAAAACACGCGACACGCAAAGACCTCTTAGCAAATTGGATATTGTTGTACAAGAAAAAATATCCATCTATTCAAAGTGCATCTAAATTTAATTTCATTTTTTATTCTGATACGTTAAGTGCTATTGAACTTAATAACTAATTTAATTGTGCTAAGAGCTAATGTAAATTTTTTGCGTTTTATTAATTTTCACTATGTCAAAATTATATAATGTGAAACTTGCTTGATGTAATACTTACATAATATTAGAAATTATTATTACGTGCTGATGATATGCGAATGAGGTAATATATTGAGATTCATCATCTTCCGTCCAGCTGCATGCAAGGAATCCCTCAAGATTAGTATGTTAGTTACATATTAATGTGTACTACACAAAAGTTAATAGCTCTGAGACTATAAAAAAAAGATTAATCAACATTTTACAGTTTTACATAAAAGTACACGGCATTGATAAAGAATAGACATATGTATATATTTTTATTCCACAACATTTTTAACAATCATATAAAATGCTTTACAGTTTGCATATCGGCGATTCTGTACAATTACAATTTTATAGTGGATTCTGTAATAAGTACTACGTAAACACAATATAAAAGTATATTACATCTTAATTATGACTTATATCTATATAGATTTTAGGACGGATTAGAACAATGACAGATTAGAGCAAATTTTATATCTCGTGTATACATATAAAATTGCGCGCGCGATAGTGATGCTTACAATGTATTAATAATTTGTGCAGTAGCATTTATAACATATAATTAAAAGTGAATCATCTCCTAACGTTAACTATCGAATAATTTCATTGTAATTAGCTGCTCTTTACAATTGTATATGTACGATTGCACTATATAAAGAAAATAGAGCCATTATGTATGTTTAATCTAAAAAGAAAAATTAATACTTTCAAAAAATTAACAAATAATTATTAGATTTATTGTCTTGTCAGGGGGGATCCATTATTCTTATAATCAAACAATACATATTTCATAATTCTATTCAAACATTAATTTGTATGTATCTACGATATACCCTGTCTTTAGTATAAATCCCATATTATTAAAAAATTATAGTGTCTTTCTTCACTTATGGCAAATATAATAAAGGCTCGAAAATAATAAGTAATAATAAAAATTCTCTTTTAACCCAGAAGTAGAATCGAGATAAATGCGACGACAGTACATCGATAGTGCTATTCGGTGTTTTTTAATCCTTATCAGTATTATTACTTCCTATAAAACTCCTAATTTTAAATAATGACAAAACCTTTAATTAAATTATATTAGTCACAAATAAACAAGACGCAAGTTGTGTGTACCTTAGGAAAGACAAATAATGACGTTATGTAGGCTCCATACTTTTAAATTGACGAAAACAAATTTTACCCTCTAAAATGGTGAACAATTTTATTTTCTTATAATGTTCAATGTTTGCTCAATGTTTGAACATTAAATTAAAAATCTGAAAAGTATGATCATGACAAAGTGTCTCTTTTACTTTTAGCACTTTTCAAAATTATATTTTTGAAGCTTCAAATCTATATTATCATATAACATATATAGGATATAGCGATTATATAAAAATATATATGTAATGTAATATGTTATTTAGTGACACGATCAAGCGTAATTGCTTAATTGTAGATGAAATTTTTTTTAAATCGATTGATATCTACGAATAGATAAAAGTTTAAAAAGTTTTTTGAAAATTGTAGTGCAAATAAAAGCAAAGCTACATAAATGTGATATGTGAATATATATATATATATATATATACACACACATACATATATACATATATTTATATTGTATATATGTATACACAAAATAAATAAAAGGAAGCACAGATAAAAAATATTAAACAACAAATACACTGTAAGAAATATTTTTGTGATACATTAATGTATTTCATTAATGCATTCTAGATGCATTAATTAGTTTTCAATAAATTATCAGTACATGGAATGTGATATAAAAGACAGTCTCAATTTTATGATTAGAATTTATTTTACTCGATTATAGAAATATATATATTTTATTAATAAAAATATAGCACCATCATTTCATCATATTTTTATGGTACGACAATTTTCAATATATAAATTATTTATCGTTAATGTATAAATTTTTTATCGTTTCATTACTGTAATACATATAATAAAATATAATTTTAAAAAATATTAAAAGAATAAATGGGCTATCCTGCAATATCTATTATATCAATAACATAATCATTCATTGTGTTGCGCTTATACTCTACTAATATCGTAATTTTAAAAATATTGATTGTTGAATGAATTATTGCATAACAACTTGACTATACAACATTAAATTGGTTAAAGTATCAGAGACACATCAGCATAATTTTTCTCTTCAAGAGAAATTTTTTATCGTAAGGTTCTAAAGTGCCCTTTTATAAAAGTGATCAGTCTCCAGTGGCAGTCATCTAGTGAAGTCTGGCATTAGAAAGAATTTACGTAACGTCAACTTGCCTCTCGGCTTGTGTTTGAGATGGTCCTCAATGAATTGACAAGGGCAACGGGCGGAGACACAATGGCGCGGTGGAACAGACAGACCCATAATACCTCTATCACGTTCCTGCGAGTCTATAACCAGATCAAGTCTGCGACGCACGAAGTGACGTGCCCATCGAGACGCATACCTCAGCAACAGCAACTCCGCCCGTTCCTGTCAACACATACCATCATCATTCAATAGAACCCTTTGCTTCACGCAAAATAGTAATGTGTGATTTTCCTTCCACCTTTCAATTTTCTATCAAAACTCTCTCTCTCTCTCTCTCTCTCTCTCTCTCTCTCTCTCTCTCTCTCTCTCTCTCTCAAATTTATATATTTAGTTTTATAATACAAGCTTGCAAGTGTCAATGTAAAGTTGCATCCAAATTATCGAGCCGAAATTTGAGTCGAACTTCGAACTGCGAGCATTTCGGCTAACTTTCGTTGTTTTTTGCAGAGTCATGTAATAAATATTTATCGAAATGCTTGCGACTTGAGATTTGGTTCAAGTTTTGGACTCGATGATCTGGACGCACTTATATATTTCTATCATATATATAACTGTTGAAAACTGATATTATAAGTAATATTCTTCATAATATAGTACAATTCGTAAATATAATCATCTGTATGCTAACGATGTCTCTGACCATTATGCTTGATAATGATTTTTTATCATAAAAGTGTTTTCACCGTTATTACAAATTATTCATTATGAATTAAAAATTATTTGTTCACCATTTTATAAGTATATATTTATGTTTTGTGTGTGTGTGTGTGTGTGTGTGTGTGTGTGTGTGTGTGTGTGTGTGTGTGTGTGTGTGTCACCAAGCTCAAGATGGTTAAATATAAGTAGAACATTAAAAAATTATTGGTAAAAAGAGAAAAATACTGACATTATAGTTATCAATATAAATAAATGGGAAAGCTTGATCAAAAATTTGTACATTATTTGTCTCTCAAAGGAAACAATTTACTGGAATGTTGAATAGATCAAAATAAAAATTATTATATCCATCATTATCTATCTCTATAGATTGTATTAACAACAAGCCAGATCTATTATCAATTTTAACTTTAAATGTGATGATATAATCTTCAAAATATAAAATTGAATATAATCTTTATCTTAAGCCCATTCTACAATGAGCAATAGCAGTAGTGAATTAAAAAGTAAGCGTAGAAATCGATTAATGATTGATTATTCTTCTTCGATTGGTTGATTTCTACGCCTATTTTTTAATCCATTACTGCTATTGCCATTGTAGAATGGGCTTAACGAGTAAAATATATGAACACCACATTTAGCGTTAAATGAGTCTTTAGCGGAATGTAAATGAGTCTTGCTCTGGAAACGAGTGATCCCGTTCTGTTCTATGTAACTCTACAATTATATTAATTTCAATCTCTCTCTTTGAGCCAAATTGCCATTTATCACTTATGTAAGTTGTATTGTACTTATATTATTATAACCTGTAATATTTTGATATTTTTAAATAAAATGTTAAGTACATTTAAAAATATTTTAAAATTAAACGTATATAAACGACATCAGTAAACATAATTCCCAAAATAATATAACAAATACAGCAATAAGAAACAATGACCTATGAGATATTGTAAATTAATTATATCACTATGCTCGTAAGCATATCAAAAGTTAGTTTTAACAAAATTTAAGAGAAGAAAGTTTTTTTAAAATTTTTTTATGCAACAAATGTCTGATATTTAAATCAAAAGTTGCAGTCTCGTTCATGTATTGTGCGGTTCGGCTATTTCTATATCAATAAAAAGAAGCCACTTTTACAAATGTATGTTAAACATAAGTATGTATGTTAAACATAAAAACAAAGGATTACGGCAAAAATTACTTGCGAATCGATAAAAGTAAATTGTAATTTTCTTTGGAAGCTATTTATACGTTTAGTTATGCGCATTCGAGAAAACTTAATAAATCATAAAATCTCTGCAATTTTTGTGTAATTGTGAAACAGCGTGTGTATCTTTATAAGCAGCATGGAATAATCATATTTCTCAAATGCCTCTGTCTCTGAGAAAACTACTCCATCTAGGACAAAAGTCTCTGCCCTGAACGCGTGGTTTATTACGTAACCATTCCTCTATATATTGACAAGGACACAGAGCGGACGCTAAATGACGTGGCGAAGAAGGATTTCCACCCTCCTCGTCAACTGTCCAATCCAAACGCCGACGTAAGTAATCCTTCGCCCAACGTTGCACATAACGGCAGAATACTTGTTCGTTTTTACCCTGGTAGTTTAATATAATGCACAACAAAATATTTAATATAACTTATTGGAGTTAATAACGTCGTATTTCACAAATAAATCGAGTTTATGTAATTAAGGCTTATATATTGAAGAGCTAAAGATGCTCCAACATATGAGAACTCTTTTCATCTATGTCTTGTACTTATACTTAAAATAAAACCAGTATGTTTATGCTTTGAAGAAAAACATCAATGTAGAAAGTAAAACTGAAAAGAATGGATATAAATTGAATTTTTTGCCTTATTTCACATATTGATTTACAAATGAAAAAATAGTACTTTTATTTTTAGCTCCTCAACATCTAGCCTAATTAATAAAATATTGAAAATGTCAATGTAAAATTATTAAGAAAATTTGAATTATAAAGAAAACTTTTTAAAATAAAATAAAATTGAAATAATTTTAAGAATAAAAAAATATAAAAAATAAATAAAAAATTAGACTAGAGATCATGCATTTACCTGTTTACGAGAGATTCTTGTAGTAGTGCTGCCTTGTATAACAATGTCACTGTCGTCAATGTCCATACGTTGCTGTAATTCTCGTTGTCGATTTATATCGTTTGCATCATCGCCACCAATTATTCTACCTTCGCGTTCTTCCCGTTCTATTACTTCTTGCAGCTTTTTCTATCATAAAATAAGCCATTATATTAATCTTTCGCAGATATATTAAATATTAAATATTAAAAACTATAAGTAAATATTAAAAAATGTTATAATAAAAGATAGTATTTGTATATACATGAATATTTATCTAAAAAGACTATTCTCTTATGTCATTTTATATTACTTTAAAAAACAAGTGATTAAATTCTATTCTAATAAAAGTTTCACTTACAACGCAATCCGTGGTGTCAAAATATATGAAACACAGATTAACTTTGTGGCAGGAGATTTTCCCTCTATCATCTAATCCCAATAATATTTTATGTCTTAATAAATGTTTGTTAACTTGAGCCATACATTTCTCAAGATTATGATTGAGCTTTATTTTGATAAACATGCAGAAGAATATTGCAGCTGCATTTAGAATTAACCACATAACACCCAGTCCGAATAAAGTAAGGCCAGTCACACCGGAAAACAATAAACCAAGCAGCACAACGAAGGCGGTGAATATCCAAAGGACGAGAATCCTCTTGTAGCATATATTATACATATTGAAGCGTACATCGTTCACAAGTAATTCCATTATGTGAACATAATCTTCTACTGTAAGCTGCAATATATCTGTTTTGTTAGACTGCTGATCATCTTATTTCTTTAGAGTACATAAGAAAAAGTATGTGAGCTGATGTTTCTCTTAATTACTTTAATATTTCAAATCACATCCTATAATTTAATCAAATACAGAGAATTTTGTATTACTAAAAGTAAACTAAAAATTTGTATTACTAAAAAGTAAAATAAAAATTTAAAAAATAAAAATAAAATCAATATACAATATTAAAATATATATTAAAATAATATGAATAATGTGCTAAATAGCATAATATTGAAACAGTTATCTTGTTTACTTGACTTGAAATTTTGAATTTGTTTTCTAGAAATACCATGCCACATGTGTATATATACGTATGAACATATGTTCAAAATTACAAGTGGGAAAAGATTCTATTGTGATAAAGTATCCGAACATGAAATTAATCTCAAGATAAACAAGTCGCGATACTATCTCTTGGAGGAAACGTCCAAATAGTGATAAATAGATTACTTTAAAAACAAAATTCTCTCTCAGTACTGCAAAAAGCTTACAACTTTTCTCGTAAAAATTACAGCTATAACGAAAGGTCAATTCAAATTGTAACATTGTTGAGAAAGAAAAAAAGGATATAATAAATTATACGTACGGTTAATCCTTGTGCCATCAATTCCTCCGGCACCAATTCCGGTCTGAATCTGGCCGGAGTAATCCACGGCCACTTAGTATTTACCGGCAGAAGAGTAACTATGGTATCGCCATTGGCAAAACCCTGCCTGATATTTCCAATCGACGTAGTAATAACGTTACTCGGTGCATTTCTTCCATTGGACACATCTCTCAAGTCGATGGTCTTTAATGAAGCGCTCTTGACTTCTGACGTTCGAACGTCAGATGGTAATTTAAGATCCGGAGTCTCGGACGTGATAGAACGACTTAAACCTGATCTATCTAAGTTAATCTGGACGGATTCGGTTGCTATCACAGCACCTCTATACTCATTGGTTTTCTTATTATTAATATCAGGTGGGTCAATATTTTTGCCGATTTTGTCGACCTGTACAGTAACCGACTCGGGTTTTATTACGGCGGGCGTGCTACTGTTGCCGGCTTTTCTTTCGACATTAGTAGCTTTTTTCGAATCTGTCTCCTCCTCAAATTGAACCCAATTCGTTTGTGCAGTTACGCCAAAGGAATCGGCCGCCGCCGCCGCCGCCGTCGCATTGTCAGTTGTATCAGTTGTATCTTCGGAACTCATGGCTAAAAAAAAAAATATACATGTCTTCTAAGATTTTAGAGATATTTTTCAGAAGAGAATCAATTGCTTATCATAGATTAATAAATTTTAAAGATATTTGTAAAATATAAAAATAAATAAATGTGTATACAAATGACAAAATATTTACGATCTGAAATGTTATAGTCTGATAAAGGCTGCCATTTCGTACTCTAATTTTCGGCCTTGCTAGTTCATTAGCGATGCATTTAATCGGCACTTGTCGGCGCTCATCGGCACGTAGGTACGCACCGCCGATTTCGCTCGGCTAAAAGGGAGTGTCCCCGGATATGGAGTCTCAAGACGCGAAACTGTCACTCTCACGTGGAACATATTCCATCATAAGGATGATCGATGAGAGATCCCAATCGGAATGATCATCCTCGATTTGGCGCGATACTCGTAGAACGCGGAAATCCCCGGTCGGTCGGGTGCATCAAGTTTCGCGCGATGGATCTCAGAATGTCCTAAACGGGAGATCTCGCGCGACGTTGGACCATCCGCGACGGGGAAAGGGAGAGAAAGATCAGAGAATCGTGCGAAGTAGAAAGAAACGTGGAGTCGAGTTGGTCGAGTACGCCACAATACCGGAAGACCTACCTGAGGTGATGCGGCCTGTCTCATGCCCGCGCGAGTCGAAGAGGTGCGCGACGAATCACGAAATCAAGGTGTACGACATCGGGGGCATGGGACAACGGCTAGGCCATGGTAGAGATGGGTAGAGGGGACATCGAGGCGATGGAGGGAGTCGCAGGTTGCAGGGAGGTGTAAGGAGGTAGACACGAAACGTATAGGCGTATGTATGTGCGTGCGCTATGCGTGTGAACACCTGCATGCGTGTGATCACGCGCGCATGAATATCTGCTGCGCGATCGTCCGTCACGTTCACGACATTCACGCAATCCGTGTGAACGGCCCTCGATAGATCTTTCGCGAATTTAAATGATTGCGAATTGGTCGGGATTTAATTCAAAGGGAAGCTTCGAATCTACCTGTTTATCATCGCACACCTGTATGCGACTGTTTGCATTTTGATTACACTCGCGACGTTGTATATCTAATCGAAATTATATATCAACGTAACAGGATTATTTTACATCTGATTATGCACACTCTAATGCATCTCGATAGAAATGAAAGATATATTATACCTGCATCAGTTTTTTTGCTATGCTTGTATAGGATCATTTGAAAGATATTATGTCTCAACGATAATAATGATAATAATAGTACAAAGCCGATGTAGTGAAGTAGTTAATATAATTTTATTAATTTCTTCAGTTTCGCTAATTTCTCAATTAGTCACTGAAATTACAATTTAATTGGGATTTTTTTGAGGTGCAAATTGAGGTGAAAAGCCAAGAAATTGTCCCCACGTAAAAATGGCGCGAGTATCTTATCAATGATGAAGTTTTGAAATTAAATGGAATGATTAGTGCTGACATCTTTAAATCTTCTACTGTGATCTAATTATTTTTCAAAAAGTTTTCTTTTAAAGCAAAGCTAATGGATAATTAAAATAGTAGCTTTCCATTTTTACGCACGTGATATCGAGTCGTAAAGTTATAGTTTTATAGATAATGATAACGTCATTAGCGTTACTTACCTACTTTAGTGATAAGGTTCGTTTTTTATATCTCTAAACAACAAATATACATTTGTTTCACTTCAACTTATTGCACCAGTTCAGAAATGAGTACAGGAATAAAAAACAGATCTAAAGTTATCGCATAACGACAAGTGAGGTTATGTAACTTCACTTTTAAAATTTAATAAAATACATAATCTCGAGCTTATGCAGATTATAGATAAAAGCTTAATTGCATATCTCATTTATTAGAATGCAAATGTCACATAATGGCTCCATTAACAGCATATTTTAGTTGAAATTAATTTTCAATAACTATTAATGAAACAAATATATACATGTACGTTATAATCTTGTTTTAATAAAATTTTGTTTCGTTAACACTGTTATTGATTTAATAAGATTATTTTCAATTAAAATAATGCTATTAGTTGCAAAATTAATTTTTATAATTTGATTTCTATGTCAGAATGTTTTTTTATAATTCTGTTTTCGATTGTTTTTTTTGCTAACCTTACTGATCTAGCCATGATAGATTTTTGCATTAAATATGATCAAATGTATCGGCATTAGTGTTTAAGACAAAATAACTTAGCGACGGTTATTTGTTTTTGAAAAATTTTACTTTTAGCAGTTTAGTAACAACGGTGGAAATGGCGGGTAAAAAAAAAAAATTTATTAACGTATTATTCTTGATTGACCAACCAGAAGAAGGAATTTCACTATTTGACCAATAAAAAAATGTTTCAAAATATTATATTTGTAGCATCGGTAGCAAGAATAAAGAAAGGAATAAAACGCGCAGAACACAGAACGAAGTGTCTGAAAGTGCACTTACTGCTGATGATCAGTTGGTGCTACATTGCGATATGTTGATTGACAATGTTGACATTAGTCCACCTGATTGTCAAAATGTATCGTCTGAATTCGATATCGCATATGTCTAGATGCGTCTTACCAAATATTAATTTTATTCGTTCCAAAGTGAATATTCGACGTAATCTACATGTTTATAAAAATGTTTTTGTGAAACTCCCGCGATTTATCGCTAGAATAGAAAAATATCATTTCAACGATAGTCACAAATCACAAGAGAACAAATCCAGAATGCTTCTTGCAGTATCGTTGCCTACATTAATTTTCAATTATTTTCTTGATATCGAAGATACCGACGAAGAAGTCCCAGAAGTTATTATGACGATCAAACGGTCCGTATTATTGATACAGGTAAGATATATGTATATATTGAGACTATCTTATGTTTTTAATATATAAATGTTTATATGAAATGATATTGAGATGAGGAGTTGAATCTTCATTTGAATCTCATCACAGTTTCAGCAACATTTGCTTTCCCTTTATAGAAGGGAGAATATGATAAAGCAGAGCAAATGCTACACTTAGCGTTACGCCAAGCACAAACCATACAACATTATGATGCTGTCACATACATCTATGATGTAATGGCTAATCTTGCTTTCGACACTGGAAAATATCGCAAAGCAGAACAATTGTTCATATCAGTTTTGCAAAGGCTGATGTCGAATGGAGCTACAGAAGATGATATGCGAATAATCCATATAAGCCTGAAAATGGCCAAAGTATTTGAACATCTTGATGAGCTAAAGTAAGCAGTATAATCTTCAATAACTTTACTGTATTTTTTTTATAAAGCATGACATGGAATTAAAGATTTATATTCTAAAAGATTACATATAAAAAACAGAAATTCTAAATTTTAATAATTAACTATCATACTTCTAATTAACTCTAGCATATTTCTCCTTTTCATTATTAATACAGTATTATAGTATATAGTATATTATATATAAGATATATATTTTTTATTTCATACAGAAAAGCAGAGCTGGGTTATAAATTTTGTATGAAAAATTTGGAATCGCACATTGAAAAAGATTCTGATAATAAAGATGTTGTGTTGCTACAAGGTATAACTTTTGATTGGTATGCACGAATGTTACTTTCACAATCTCGATATACCGAAGCTTTAAATTATCTCCTTCAAGCTTATAATATATGTAAAAAAATAAATGGTGAAGAACACGAACAAACTGTTGTTCTGCTTAATGATTTGGGAACAATTTGTTGCATACGAGAAGAATATGATGAAGCTATTAAATATTTGTCTACTGCAGCAAAAATAGGTAAAAGATATTAATGAATATCAATTATATTTATAACTTTTATAATTATTAATCTCATAATATATTACATAATGTTTTTAGGGGAAAACTTACCTGATATGGTTGACTTGGGTTCAATTCATGTGAATTTAGGAAATGTGCTTCTAAAAAAAGGTTTATATGATGAAGCTAAAAAATCTTGTCAACAAGGAAGAAAAATAGCTGAAAGTAAAGAAGACAATGATTCTTTGTTAGAAGCAAATGAATGTCTCAAGGAAGTAAAAAGATTACTGTCGTTGTAAATCCTTATGATTATCTTAGTAGATAGTTGTTAAAAATATATATGTTTAGAGAAGATTTAGAGAATTTGTATTGTAAATGTATGTAGAAAAATATTTAAAGAATTTTAATGATTGTAATAAAGGTCTGATGAAATACAATTTTTTAAATAAAAGCTATTTATTATTTGATATTCAACAGACTAGTCATTAATATAAAAAACACGTTTTACTTCTGGAATGTTATAATTTAATATATTTCATATGTGTAATGTTATTGATATAACTTATGCATTTTCAGTTTTTACATTAAATTTCTTATATTATGTCACAATGAATACATTAAAACTTGATTTATAACATATTCTCATTATTAAATAAGAAATTGTAATATAAAATATTGGATAATATTTATATAATGATTTATATGATAATAACATAGAGTATGTACATATACGTATAATTTTTTGAAGAAACATTTTCAACAATTTTTGCCAACATGATTGCCGTTTTAATGCACTGTATTTAGTTTTTTTTGCAAAATATTTTGACAATAAAGAATATCAATCCACAGCACCAATATTTATTATAATATATATTTTGCGTTATAGTATTAATATTTATTAATATTTATTATAGTAATTTATTTTTGTTTTGGAAAAAATTTTTTTAGCAATTTCATAGTTTATGTGAATTTTTATATCTTATCTATTTTTATATCTTATTGTAAATTCAAAAGCATTAAATTAAGCTATATTAACAGATTACATATGCCATTTGTAAATCATTACGTCATATCAAATCAGAAAATATATTCAATACAATGAAAAAATAACGACAAAATATAAATGGGCGTCAGCGCTGGATATTATATTGCGCAATGTTAACTAATATCTATTAATGTCACTAAATCAATTTTGTACGTTTCGGCTCACTATTGAAGCCATTTTCAGCAATAAAAAATTACCGCTTATCGCACTATAAAATCTGTCACACTGTGCGTACTCACATAATTGTAGTTATATATAGTAAATATATTTAGGCTCTATTAGAAACAAAAAGATTCATTATAAACAATCATGAGAATAGATTTATTGTAAGTATAATAAGCAATAAAAAGTTGAATTAATCGTTCTTATTTAAATTTATGCGTACAACATACATTTGCTATCATTCAAGCTAATCCATAATTTTAAAATGTATCTACTATTTCATCCAAATATTTGACTTAGTATTTTCAGATCATATCTTTCTTGTTTTAGGCACTCTAAATATGAAATTA